ATTTTAGGCTTTTAGAGTAACTAATACCAAGGTCACGCGCTGATATGAGTGTCTGAACCCTACATTTTTGTAAGTAGACTGGTGAATCAAGGTGATGCTTGCCAAAATGCATTATGCCACATTTGTTGTGGTTAAACGGCAGTTGCCATGTTGTTACGGGAGAAACGAAGACATTTTGCTGATTAAAACCTTCATGTATAAATATCATTAATTTCACTGTTTTTGGGTACATTTGTTTTACTTAACTTGTGAACTTGTTTGAATTATTATTTGCGGACATATTGGACTCCCGTTTCTCTTTGTTGTTCGTTGCAGTTTTTTGCTCCGAGAGATAATAAATTAGAAGGTAATTGTAATTATTATAATTATTGTTGTTAGAACGACATTGGTCGTCTATTTGTAATAAAATATTTTGGTCGAATTTGTGATTTGGAATAAACTTTGGTATCTACTTTGGAGTTTCGTTCTTGGTATAGAAATTTGGGACCGTGAATTACAAATAGACGACAACAGTGCTTCTAAAGATCAACGAGCAAGAAACTGGACGTAACAAAAGTTCTTCTAATTTAAATTCGTCATATATTGGATTTTTGGTCGTTTTGCTCCAGAAGTTCTTCTAATTTAAATTTGTCATAAACTGGATCCTTTTGGTCGTTTGGCCCTAGAGGTTCTTCAATTCAATTTTGGTCGCTGGAAACTTTTGGAAATTTGGGTCCAAAGGTTCTTCTAACTTTTAATTTGGTCGTTGGATACTTTGGACAATTCAATTTTGGTTCTTTGGTTATATTTTGGATACTTTTGGACATTTTGCTATTATTGGCGAATACGTTTGGAATAATTTCATATTTGCTTGGTAATCGATTTCTAACAAAATCATCCAATGGAAACTAGAAGCAAAAGGCTGAAGGAGCAGGACGAAATGGATGGTAAATTTTCTAAAGCTGTTTGTGGTATGTCTGATGTTAATGATGATAAACTTGATGATATTAGTGTTAATAGTAAGACTTCATCTCAGTTTAGTACTTCTAGATTTAAGTTAGATAAGGCATTAATTAAGAAGAAGAATTTGGAAAAGAGACTTGAGTTAGAAAAGCAGCTTAAAATGTTAGAGCTTCAAGAGGAAGTTGATATGGCTGAATTAGAATGTAAGGTCATGGAAAACGATATGGAAGTGACTAGTTATCTGCGTGCGAGACAGGGGGATTCTTCAAATGCATTTACATCTACCTCACACCCGGAATTTGAGAGAGTTGTTAATTGTATCAGAAAATTATACCCTCTTGAAGAAGGAGTATGTGACCCCGATGGTTTAGAACCCCTTGATGTGTATCCTAGTGAGAAGCCGGTTTGTGTAGCAGATAAGATGGGTTTTTTGAAGATGGAAAAGAAAGAAAAAGGCAAAAAGGGTAGTCATCAAGATGGATCCGAGGTGTGTGATGGTAAAAGCCTCTTAACTGCTCGAAAATCAAGGAACGGTTATTTGGATTCGAGCAAACAGAGGTTAGTGAATAAGAACAAAGACGAAACAGGTTTGACTGTATGGAATAAAGCTTATGTTCGGAACCTTTCACGTAACGTAAATTATTTAACAGGACCTAGAGTTGATCCTAGGACAACAAGTGTATATAGTGACACAGCACTTCATGTTGCTGAGCAATCAGGATGTCTGCAGGCTACTATATCTAGTTCTATGGAGCATCATGATATTGAAGCGGAAGATAATAGCTGCTTAGCGCGTCCTGCTGATGTTTGTTTACGGTCAACGGATGGACGGTCGTATACTAGTCGAAGTAGTCATATCGACATTGATAGTGTTAGTGAAAGTGGTAGCGTAGCTTTGAAGCCTGCATGCCAACTATCTCGCAACTCGTCATTAACTGTGAATAGTCGGAACATCATTGTCGACAACAATAACGTCAAGGTGGAGGTGAAACCCCATGTATCTATTAATAGTGTAATTGATGTGAATAATAAACGAGATGGTAACGATAGTGGAATCATTATAGGTAGTGCTGTTTCGTCGGTTGACGCTGCTAATGTAGCTTCTTTGAGTACTTCGAATCAAGACGAAATTGGATGTTTGAGAGTGGAGAACGTAGGCGTCGGTGGCAATAGCCTTAGCTATAGTGACGGCAGTACTGCGAATGCTAACATTCGGTACCCTAGGTGCAATGAGGAGTCATCTAGGTTTAATGGACATGCTGTTGTTTTGAATATGCAGCATGAGGAATCAAGCATGGAATTGTCCACCTGTCGCACTTCACCATCATTGACTCGTACTACAGGTATCGGGATGAGCACTACCAACAGTGATAAGATAGAAGAGGTTAAGAGCATTCCTGGTAATGAAAGTATTGTTGATCGAGTAAAGTTGGATACTGTGTATGAGTCGACTGGTTATCATGAGAAGTGTATTGCTACTTGTACAGATGCGACTACCAATGATAATAGCATTGGTAGTACGGCGGGTAATAGTGATCTATGGAAGTTAAAGGACGCTCATCGTCGTCGAAATGATCGTACGTTACGCTTGCATACTGCCACCCAAGCTAAGAAGCATAAGAAACAACATGATGCTACTAATATTAAGAAGTGTAAACTTCGTTCTCTTTCGGATGCTATGACTAGCAATAGAAGTAGTAGTCATCAGAACCTTAGTAGTGACAGTGATAATAAGGAGATAGAAAGTGTCAGCAGTCCACTTATAGTGACTAGTCTATCAACTTCATCGAACGAGCCTTCTAGTGTTTCGACGTCATTGGACCTCGTCACGAATGTTAAGTTGATCGAAGATGCACAAGGTTGTGCAACTGTAACTGTTCCTATTCCGGTTGACTGTCAGTCGAGTGATGATGAGAAGAAAGTGTTTGATGGTAACAGCCAGTCTACAGTGTTGTGTGATGACGATGCTATTGATGAGCATATGTCTTGTGTCTCTGGGACGGATGCTAATGCAGACCGAATCGACGCGACTTGTCTGACAGAACGGAATCATAATGACGATGATAATAATCTGGATGTCACTGATGTGACAAATAATTTGTCGACGTTGACGAATGCTGATCAAACCTCTGCACCAGGAGATGGAGAGTTGAATATTGTTCCAATATTATGCCACCTAGAGTCTTCAGGAGACGAGGAAACGTCAAAATCGGAGATCCTGCCCTTGCATATTATCTATGGGTCAAGAACTTCTGTTGATAAGTCAGCATCACGGGCTTCATCGTATCTGCTGTTTGGAGCAATGGTTGGTGGATTAACGACTCATCCCCATGAGGTGGAAAGTAAATCTCTAAGAGGATATGACCAGCTTTACGACGTGTTGCACATGTTCGTGTGGGTGAATTGGATAAGGTTTATACTACCGTTAGGTCATGCTACGATAGATAGGGGAATCAAGGACCTGATGGGAATGTACAGGTTCATAGTTTGATAGGTCATATCCATGTTGGAGGGCGGGTAGGCGTACTGCTGTAAGTCCTACTCGTTCTTCCGGTGTGGATTAGGGGATGAGAATGAACCGTAAATTGAAGTGTTAGAAAGGGCTTGTTTTGCTTAGAGGGATATTGTGGGCCGGTGTAGAATTTATATTGAATGTTTGTTGTTGATTGCTTGTGATGCACATACTTGGATTGTTGTTATATATTCTTGTCGGTGAAAAGAACCAAGGTTCTTTTGGTCGGGAGTGTTACGGGAGAAACGAAGACATTTTGCTGATTAAAACCTTCATGTATAAATATCATTAATTTCACTGTTTTTGGGTACATTTGTTTTACTTAACTTGTGAACTTGTTTGAATTATTATTTGCGGACATATTGGACTCCCGTTTCTCTTTGTTGTTCGTTGCAGTTTTTTGCTCCGAGAGATAATAAATTAGAAGGTAATTGTAATTATTATAATTATTGTTGTTAGAACGACATTGGTCGTCTATTTGTAATAAAATATTTTGGTCGAATTTGTGATTTGGAATAAACTTTGGTATCTACT